GTGTAGGACTTGTCGCACATCTTGCACAGGTAGGGCTTATCCGAGGTGTGGACGTGCATGTGCTTCTTGCGGTCGCTGCTGTTGGCGAAGCGCCGGTCGCAGCCTTCGAACTCGCACTGGAAGGGCTTCTCCCCTGCAAGAGAGCGGCGCAGCAGCGGGGTGAGCGAGGCCGCCCCCCGCAAACCCCGCGCAGCCCCCGCATGGTTTCCCCGCCCTCGTCCTCCTCTCCCGGTCGCTTGGTCCAGCGGTTTCCCAAAGCAAGGCGCCGGCCGCGTCCCGGTACCCGCAGCCCCGGAGGCCGCAGCGCTCACGCGGTGCCCTGAAGCGAGGCACCCCCCGTCCCCCGCCTGGTCTTCCTACCAAAACCTCGGGGATATCCCCCTCCCGGCATCTTGCCTGACTTTATTTCGACCGCTGCCAACACACATAGCCAGCCCCGTTAGAGATTGAAGAAAAAAGACAATTTGAAGAAAAAAAAAAAAAAAAAATCATCATCGAGCCGTCTCGCCTCGGTACCAAATCCGCTATCCTGTTAAACTGGAAACCATTACCGACAGATTTAAGGCCGGGCATATTGTTTCGTGTATGGATATTCGAGATAAACGCACATCCGCTGGGAAAACTAAACGTCTGTAAAATACTTCATTTAATTTTCATAGGGATTCCTCTCGCCCGGCTGCCAGGACTCCAAATGCCGGGGAGTACTTTGGAGGTGAGAACTCCACATTCCCCCGCCTTTGGAGGGGGAAGCATTTAACATTAGATTCCATTAGCACCTAAATTGTTTCTTAAAGACATCCGCTCAGACACAATGACTTCAGTGCGGGCATCTCATGCAAATACATTTCTCAAATTTTAAACCTTGTTAAAGCTCGTCTCGCACCTCGCATCGGGCTTAGCACTTGAGAAAACAATAGGCCTCGAGATTTTTAGCCTTTCTCCGGGTAAATATTTGGAGTGGAAGTCGCTAAAATATTTGGCCGTCTTTTATGAAATAGTCTGGCACGGTTTGAGCCGGCAGGAGTAGTAAATGAATAATAGATGAGGCGGGAGGATGCGTTTATTTTTGTTACCCTTCGGCTCAGGCGATTTTCCATCAGGAAAGCCTGGGCTCCCTCGACCCTCTTCCACCTGATTTGGGTGGAAGTTTCCGAACCTCAAATCCTCTGTTCCCTATTACATAATTTAATAAACTGCTGCAAAAACACCTTAAATCACATCGAGTGAGACTTTCAAAACAATTTTTTTTAAAATGAGAAAATTTTATTGCCTTGCTCACACCATTTAAATTTAATGGAAAGCATTCCCAGAAAGGGACTTTTTGCCACTTCTAACGGGATTTCGGACTAATGATTGATTTTGCACGTATTTATATAGTTTCTCTCGGTATCCATAAATAAAAGCCACGCTCACAAGCGCTGAAGTTGTATGCAAATACGTTGCATAGAGCAAATGACTAAGGCGTTTCAGATGGATGGATGGATGGATGGATGGATGGATGGACGGACGGATGTCTTCCCGTATTTTAGCAAGACGGCAAAATTTGGTTCGCACTGTATTCCGCGTTTCTGCGGAAAGACTCCGCTGACCCTTCGTACGAATCTACAGCTCTCGCTCACAAATTAAAACAAATCGGTAAAATATCCTTTCGAAATCTGGAATGGAGGGGGATGTATGCTGCTGGGGAAGAAACCAAAACAAACGCAGCCATGTGATGGAGAGGGTTAAAAAGAATAAACTGGAAGCTTATTTTAAGCTTCTCCTCACTCTCCTAATTCAACATCACTCTGTCTGAGTATCTATTAGTTTACATACATATATACACACATACATAGGCACGGGCAGAGGGAGGAAATCTGCCGAAAAAAACCCGAATTACCTGTGTGCGTCCTTTTGTGAATTTTGAGATTTTCTGATCTGGCGAAAACTTTTCCGCAGCCAGGGAAGGGGCAAGGGAAGGGTTTCTCTCCCGTGTGCACTCGGATATGATTGACCAGTTTGTATTTCGCTTTGAAAGGTTTGCCTTCGCGGGGACACTCCTCCCAGTAGCAGACATGGTTGCTCTGCTCGGGTCCCCCAACGTGCTCCACCGAGACATGGGTGACCAACTCGTGCATGGTGCTGAAAGTTTTATTGCAACTTTTTTTGGGGTTGTTCAGCTGTTCGGGATCGATCCACTTGCAGATGAGCTCTTGCTTGATGCACTGCTGCCGCATGTAGCGGAAAAAGGCACCTGGGTGGTGGTGGTGGTGGGCTGCCATGTTCATGCCCATATTCATATTCATGGGGCCGTACTGGTTGTGCAGCTGAGCCGCCGAGTAAGGGTCAGTCCTGGGGCTGGAAACCTGGCGGTACTGATCCGACCGGGCGAATACCTCCCCCGGCAAGCCCAGTCGCATCTGCCCGTTGAGAACATTTTGGGAGGCGTGGGGGCCATGCTGGTCGTGGATGCCCGGGAAGAGGAGGTGGCTCTGAGCGTCCGTGTGCGGGTGGTGCAGGCTGCCGGCCGCAGGGCCGAAGATGCCGTGCTGTCCGCCGGCCGGCGACGAGTCCCCGAAGCCCCGGCTGCGAAACAAGAAGTCCCG